GTTAGCATAAATCAGTTAAATGACGAAAAACTAGGTGTCTATTTACTTGTGACCACTCAGTGTATATACATATAACGGTAAACGAACTTTTTCGATCTCAATGCCAGTTTTGTTTTTCTAAAGCATTTAAAATCAATTTAGTTAAAGAACTTGTTATTGATGTTTATAGGGCTGCGAGCATTTATCCTATGTTGAATGATGAAATAAACAATTTTTTGAATCGTTATTGAGTTTCATTGATAGCAAAATCCATGGGCGCCGGAAGACTTTAAAAGTGAGGTTCCAACGTTCTGATAGTTCTGCTCATGTATACTGACTGACCGGCAACATTTTCAGTCGATAATACTGAATTATATTTCTAAGTACACGTTGTATAGATTTCTTTTGACCTCCAAACATAAACACCCTTTTTTTTTATTAACGTGGTATATTTATTCTCTTTTCGAGAGCCTTTTGAATTGGGCCAGTAATAAAGTGAGGCAAGTTACAGTTACGTAATACATACATAATAATTTTTATTATTTATTTTTTCACCTTACATTTATATTGATTCAAAGCATTAATTCTACTCGAATTCATGTTATTAAAATTGGGGAACAGTGTCCCCTGTTTAAATAGTGGGTGGTAAATAGCCTCTCTTCCCCCAATTTACGGCGTCTAAGGTAACATCGATGAACTGCTAAATGCACAGACAACCCCTAAAGTTCTGAAGTATGGTGTATAAAAAATTATCAGTATTAATAGTATTATCATATCTAAGACAACAGTAAGAGCATATAAGAAATAAATTAATATTTAACATTAGGCTTATCTTATCCTTAGATTTAAATTCGTATGTATGTATGTTAAAGTTCATTATAAGAATAAGAAAACTTTCATTTCAAAGATTTGGTTTCTTAGACCAAAAATCGTTTGTCATCTAGAATTTGCATACCTTCAGGTGTAGAATGGTATATGATATCATCCGCTAGGTTGCTGTAGGCTCGTATGAACAGCATGTCCCTAAGTAACTGGAGAATTATTCAATCCTTGCATAATATGTTTTACAAAATGTAACATTCCCGCCACTAATGAGAAGTTTGTAATATTTAACCAAGCTGAAGAAGAAAAGCAATTGAGAATTCGATAAAACTTTTGAAATCTGAAGCCTATATAGACCATTTTTGGGAGAATGGATAGCAAACCATGGACTCCAGGCACGCTAACCACCTAGCCACGCCTAGACCAATAAAATATATTAACATGCTTTGTTAAATTA